CAGCATTCGCATGATCATGGGTTATGGAGAGGTCTAAACCATTTAAAATAGTTCCAAATGGTTTCACATATGGCTTGAAAAATAACAAAGAAGAAAGAGTTGTAAGGATGGATTGCATAGTGCTCCTTTTCTGCATTTTTGTTTCTTAAGCCAACGTGAGGTCCCCACAGCTGACTGAGAGGCAAATGAAATTAGGTTGATATTGAAAGCACATTTGCAGAAATTGCAGAAAAATGTCCTTCTGGCGCTAGCATTCTCCTCTATTAAAGTATTTTTAACAGGGGAGCTCCCTATCTGCAATCCTCAATACTTTTAGAGATGGATTTAGAGCCAAAGATGCAAAAGAAAGATTAATATTTTTTACCGTTGAAATTTGAGCCCTTTATATCTTCTAGACGCAAGTCCTTTATCAGATAGACAGTTTGTGAATATTCTCTTCCAGGCTATAGCTTGTCTGTTCGTCCTCTTCACAGAGAAAAAGGTTTTCATTTTCATGAAGCCCAATTTAGCAATCTTTCCTTTCATGAATTTTGCTTTGGGTGTCAGGTCTAAGACCTCTTTGCCTAGCCCTAAATTCTGAAGATTTTTTCCCTGTGTTTTCTCGAAAGCTTTTATAGTTTTACGTTTAAGTCTCTGATCCATTTTGAGTTTGTTTTTGTATAAGGTGTGAAAGTTTAGACAGAAGTTCATTTTCTTGCCCATGGATGAAATGTTAATTTTTGGAAGCTCATCTTTGAAGGTGTTTATGGGGCTTTGATATTTTCCCTTCCACTAGCCCCAAAGTGCAGATGAAAATTCCTAGATTGATCTGTTTTCTTTAGTCCTGCAGCATCTCCGTATAGAGGCTCTCCAGATTGATGCAGATAAGGAATCGAAAACTTTCATAGTTTAAAAGTTAAACTGTTTGCAAAGTTTCTTGATGAAATGATGGAATGAATATAAGATTACTAGTCACAGTTGTTCTATTTTAAAAGGCTCTTTCGTACAATGACAGAGGACCACTATGACAGCCCTCTCTTTTCTCATGTCACTAGTCCCACCATAAACTGGAAATCCAAGCAGAGATGCTGAAACTACAAGTTCACGCCCTAAAAATTCCTTCTAGTCATTTCTAGGTTTGAACATCTCAAGACCCCACAGGGACATTCATTAATCTTCAGAATCTCAATTAATGGAGTACCTAAGGGGAGCTCTCTCTGGCTGCTTTGGGATCAGGGAGAGAAGTGTTGGGGGCAGGTCTCTCTGTAACACGTTTATGCAGGTGGAGGTGGCCCCAGGAAGGGGCTGAGGTGGAAGGGGAAGCAGTCATAAAAGGGTGGGTGGGTCTTTGTGAGGCGGGGTGGGAGGGCAGGCAGGTTACTGGACCATTGACAATGAGTCCAGCTCTTTCTACCACCAGCTGGACATGCCCTTCCCCTCTTTCACCTTCTTAGGAAAAATCAACGAGGTAAACAGAACTTGTCTGCTTCTCTCTCAACCTTGTGAGGGATATTTGACTTTAAATACATCCTCCCACGAGGTTGGACGCAAACTTCAGAGGGGCTCAGACCCCCAACCCACACTTGTCCTTAGGTGGGACCTTGCTTTTCAGGGACTCTGCTTCTGGTCTTACCTTCGCTCCCTCCTGACCTAACTAGCCTCTCTGCCTTGGTCACTTCCTCATGCACACTCCATCCCACGACACAGCCGTCCAACACAGATCTTAGGCCACAGCTCGCTGAACTCAGATCTGCTCAAGTCACTCCCCCGAGAGACGACTCTCCCTTTTCTCTCTGGAGAGGGCTCTGCCCAGCCCCCACAGCGTCCACTCACTGCCTGCTCCATCCTTTGCAGGCCCTACACAATGCACACACTGCCCGATGGCCTCGTGTCATCCGGGTGCTGAAGTTGCCCTCGGGTTCTTTGGCTGGGAGATTGCCTGGAATCGGGCCTGGAATCCCTGGTCCCCGCCCAGCCTTCTCATCCACTGACCCTCCAGGCCGCTCTCAACAGCCCCATCCAGATAGTTGTGTGATATTTTGAAAAGAACCTCTTTTCTATTTATATAGGCTAGTGGAAATATTCAGATAATCATATCCTTTTTTTTTTTTTTAATATGAGGTCTTTTCCAAGTTTTCTGACTCTGTATATGGGGCCAGCAGTTGACAGATGACCAAGTGTTATAAAAATACCCAGAGAACAAGCACACAGCTCTGCCACCGTGAGACAGGGTCAGAGGTATGTCAGAATCTACGCAAGTCACACAAAACTACTTCCCTCTCTCCCCTGTCTGACCCTTGAACCAGAATGAATAATAGGTGTCTTTTTTCTACAGGTCAAAATACCAATTGTCACACAAGGATTTAAATAGCTGGTCCCGGGATTCCTTTTAGATGCTTTAGGACTGATTCTGGAATAAAGCTTCTAAAAGTCAGTGGAAAAGATACCTGATCTTGAAGAAGCAGACCAACGTAATTTAAACATATCAATTCTTATTAGAGATCACCATTTCTTCTTTTAACAAACACATTGCCACTTTGGAGACCTGTACTTTTCATGAATAAATTCATTTCTAAGTAATTCGGGAGGATTTTCCCCTTCATTTGCAACTACTTCATAAATGCTGATGTACTCAAACTTCGCTTTTTGTCCAAAACTGTTCATCACTGAATGACTCTTTAATAGCTAGTTAATAAAATGCCTTCACTCAACAAAGACCAGACTGTGTAGCTAATAATTTCAGATTTTTACGGCACAAGCTTCACTAACAGTGAGTTTTTAATTTGCAAGTGTCAAACTCCCTCATGCATATTTACGGGAAAAGATGCTTAGAATAAAATTGAAATGCTTCCAATTGCCCTTATTCTCAGGCACTGCTTCAAAATTAGCTTGCCAAGTGAGAGAAGCATTTTAAAAATTAACTCTATCGAGTGAGCTGTCTTTTTTTTTTTTCTGAAACAAGTTAGAACTTCTGGGGTGCAGGCAGATCAGTAGGGCAATAGGTGGTCTCATGGGCTGGGTTCCCCAGAAATGCTCAGATTTAGTGTATTGGGAACACCACCCATAAGGGAGGGAGGGAGAGGCGCAGCACCAGGCAGAGGGAGAAGCTGAATTGTGATGCAATTGCAAGAGAGCGATCGGCTGATCCCACAGGGATTCCAGGAGCTAGGAGAACCCTAACACGACTATCTTCGGATGAGCTGCCCCAGGAGGGCAGGGGGCAACCTCATACGGACCAGCTCCCTTAGACCTGGAGCAACTCCTGGGGAGCAACTTCAGTGTGAGCGACCAGCATGCCACTCTGGGTCACCGGGGATTGAGCGCCTTGGTCCTGAAGGTGGCTTCCGAGGGGCCCATCTCAGCATCTACTACAGTGGAGCGGGTTGTGCCAAATTGAGCAGCAAGGGGTGTCTCTTCTTTTCTTCATGCAGTGAACAACAGTGGACACAATGGAAGAGCAGGACAAAGACAAATGGGGTAGGGGAAACATTTCTGCTTATCACACTGCAGAAGATGAGCATTGCAGAAGGGACCATCACCTGCAGCTGGTCGGCCGCAATCCGGCCAAGGAATTTTAAACAGAAAGTTGGCTTTTATCCCCATCGCTCACTCCTTGCCTTTATGTGGACTTTGGGTATTGCCATTTTAGATTTATCCTCACCCTTTGTCCCTTGCTAACAACTTCCAACTCTGTGGTCCATTGCTCGTCCTCCAGGATTACACAGCCTGTCCCGTTGCTCGCTCAGCGTGACACGGTGCCTGGTTCCCAAACTCAGTCTACCAGACACCACCGAGTTGTTTTTCCCACAGAGAAATTCACACGTCTGAGTGGTGGATGGAACCCATCTCTTGGGACATGAGGAGCATGGCAACAGCCATCTGAGCCGGAGCGGAGTCTCTCTGGCCCTGGACAGAGTCACGGAGGGACCATACCTTTAATGATAATTCTCCTGAGTTGATTCAGACCAGGGTTTTGGTCCTCTGTGAAGCAGTCTGTGCAAAAACGCTACTCTAAACATATTCATGTGTTAGGATGGAACGAGCTTGCAGCCCGAGCACCAGTGTCCTTAGAAAGAGTTGATACTGGGAGAACAACCTCTCTGGGAGCGCACCTCTTCACATGTTGGACGTGAACATCCCTCCAATCACCGCCCAGAAAACAGCACCTGCCACGCCCACCTTGCTGCCACACCCACCTCACCACCCAGCCCACTTCACCTGCCATGCCCACCCCACCCCACACCCACTCCCATACCACACCCACCTTGCACCACACCCACCTCACACCACGCCCACCCATACCACCCCACCTCACCAATACGCTCATCCCACACACAGCTCACCCCCACACTATGCCCACCTCACCACCACACCCACCCCCCCAACATGCCCACCCCTACCATTATGCCCACCTTACCTGCCACGCCCATCTCACCTGCTACACCCATCTCACCTGCTACGCCCACCCCACTGCCATGCCCACCTCACCGCCACCTCCAGCCCCACTGCACCAGGGGAGGCCTGGCCCAAAGTGACACTGTTTGAGCTATTCTTTCCTTTGGACAGCAAGAAAGAAGAACCTCCATTAGCATATACCCAAGGTGTCCATGGGAAGTGCTAAATTTGAATGAACTCACTTTGGTTACAGTAGATACAATTATTTTGGCTTTGCAGCGGCCACAGGGTTTGCCAAGCGTTTTCCCTTCTCTCTCCCCTTGAGGAAAGATGAGCGGGATCATTTACTTTGAGGAATGAAACTTCAAAGCTATCATACATGGGAACAAACGTGGGAAGTATCTGGGTTGTTGAACCCACCCCTTGCCCTAACAGGTATTTCTAAGTCATGAAAGGGATGGCAGCCCACTGCTGATCAAAGGGAAAAAAATGGAAAAAGAAGTGATAGCAAGCACGGTCTCCTAGGAAATGAATGACTGTAATCGAAACAGATTGGTGATTATCCCACTGATTCAAGGCAAAAAAGCAAAAAAATAAACCAAATTTCAAAAATTCCAGATTCCTTACCTTATTTTTTTCCTTTGTTTCTTTCTTTTCCTTATCTTTTTTGGCGTTCTTGGGTTTCTTTTCCTTTTTCGTCTTTTTCTTCTTTTTGGTTTTTTCATCTTCTTCTTGGCTTGCAATAATATCATCAATAACCTGATAAAAAACAAAATAATCATAGCATTTGAATAGAGCCCTATTAAGAGGAAGACTAGTTTTCCTGTGTGGAAGGAAGGATTTGTGCTGCTCAGTCTCCCTTCTGGGCCCTGCTCTGGGCCCCGGAGGCTGACCCATCCTAGGAACATCACGGGGGCTCCCTGCCTGCCATTGGCCTTTGCTTGGATTCCTCAGTGGGAGGCAGGAGTCGGATCTTGGACCGCAGATGGAGAGAGATCCTGGGCATTTCTGAACCCAGTTCCTGCAAATTCAGAGCTGCTCTGGCTCTCAGGCGTTCCAGGAACACCAGGGGAGGTCAAGGCTTCCTCAACATCTCAGCGGCAGCCGGAAGCACCAGGCCTGCCCACACCTCTTCCCCAAATCTGAGCCGAGGACACCTGCTGTTTCCTGCCTGGACTCCAGTCACGACAGCTGCCCTTGTAATAACTTTGCGTTTGCATAAAAGATTGTCCATCTCTTCTCAGCGTTGGTTTCTTCCAGCTGTGATTTAATTTATATTTCCTATAGTGAAAAAAAATCCATCTATGCTCCTGAAAGTTAAAATATTTATTAAAAAGTACCTGGTTCACATAAAATGAGTATCACTGAAGAATTAGGAAAGGTGTGTAAAAAACCATCTAATTCAGTTCAATACAACAGAGGTTTACTGGGATCTCACTCGCTGTGATAGAGAGCTACGAATTCTAGGAGATCCGAAGGGACACTGATAGGACACGTGTCCTGTTTGACCCTCCGGCTCTGCTTGTCACTGGCCACGCGACTGAGACAAGTGGCATGACTCTCTGAGACCCGGTTTGCTCAGCTCTGAAATGAAGTCAACGCTTCCACCTGCAGCACTGGTGACATGCCAAGCACGGTTCTAAGAGCTTCAGAAAGACTGATGCATTTGCTGCTAAGCACAGCCCCCCGGGTGGGAGCTGTCCTCGACCCATTTGATGGATGAGGAAACTGCAGCACGAGGAGTTCAGGAGCCTGGTGAAGGACTCGCAGCTAGTAAGCGGCTGAGCTGGGACTCAAGCAGCTGTGAACCAGGATAATTTCAGAACGTAGAACAAAAGAGGCCAGATGTGGAAGAAGATATGTAAATTCAACCTATGGTAGGAAATGCGTATAGTTAAATAAAAAAACAATACTCTACAATTTCAGGATGCATACATATGGAGTCAAAGTGTAAAGAACTGTCATTGAATCACAGACACCAAATTCAGTGCAGTGGTTACCTCTGGAGAGCAAGGTATGCAATTTTATTTTATATATATATATATATATATATATATATATATATATATATATATTTTTTTTTTTTTTTTTGGTGAGGAAGACTGGCCCTGAGCTAACATCTGTTGCCAATCTTCCTCTTTTTGCTTGAAGAATACTGTCCCTGAGCTAACACCTGTGCCAATCTTTCTCTATTTTGTATGTGGGATGCTGCCACAGTGTGGCCTGATGAGCAGTGTGTAGGTCCAAAACCAAGAATCTGAACCTGCAAACCCCGGGCTGCTGAAGTGGAGTGTGTGAACTTAACCACTAGGCCACTGGGCCGGCCCCTCTAATGTTATATTTTTGATGTTTATACCTATGTTCTTGGGAGCTTAGTTCACACCTTTAAAAGTGTAAAAAATAGCTTTATCATGGACAAAGCCATATAACCTGGCACCATCTGGACTTGAAACAAAATGCTATAGCTATGTGTCTAATGTCACACCATCCAGAGGGCCACCCATCCTCTAGGCTCCAGTGAAGACTTTGGCGGCGTGAGGCTGAAAGAGGGTGTGTTGGGGAGGATGAGAGGTGACGCATGCCTTGTGCACATTATTTGGCAATAAAAAGGCTGTCTTGCAACAGGATTAACAGTCCTTTGTTGCCAAAATAGCAGTGTTTTCCTTACGGAGCAGGATCACCTCGACTCATAGAACCAAATCACGGCTGCCCAGGAGTTTTATGTTCTGGAGCTCTTATGGAACATGGATATTGTTTGGTGCTTGGAAGTCTGGAAACGTTCAGAAATGTGAAGTCTTTTGTTTTTTTTTAAAAAATAAATGTGAGCAGCTAAGAAAAGAATGAAATCCTTATTTGTGGAACAACCAATGCAGTGTATCTTTTAAAGCCATATCACTTATGTTATTTCCTCTCTATCCTTGGTTTATTAATTCAATATTTTGAATAAATAATACACTGACATGGTCCACTACTCAAATATGACAAAAGAGCATGTAGTAAAATGTTTCCTCCCAGTGCTGTGAGCCAGCCAAAAAGATCCACTTGCTAACGCCAACCCAAACAGCCTGGATATGCTGCCAGAAACATTTGATATGGATCTATGCAAACATATGCGTGCACGCACACAAGCATATACATAAAGCACACTGACATTGTTGTGTTATTTTTGCAATCACATTGGTGAAAAATAGTTATGTGATTGTAGTCGTCTATTTTTTAACCAATGATGAATTTATTTTGCTCTTCAACTACGGCAAAATCTTTCCAGGTGCGTGCATATGTCCACGTGTATACACACAAATACATCTTATAATCCTAAATTTGTCAATTGGTACAGATTTTAGCATATTGTGCACAATGTTCTTGTTCCGAATTTTTCTCCTAATAATATACCTCGGCCATCTTTCCTTCGCGGTTCATAAAGAGCATCCTTGTTCGTATTTTTATAGGCATACCATAACTTATTGGGCCATTCTCCTATCCATGGAGATTCAGGTTACGTCCAATCTTCTGCCGTTACCAACAATGCCGCTGTGAATAGGTGCACGCAAATATCGTTTTGCAAGTGTGTGAGCATATCTGCAGGATAGTGTTGCAAAAGTAGAAATGCTGGACCAAGGGTTTGTACATTTGCAACCTTGTCAAACTGCCTCCACTGGGTTGTGCCGATGACACTTCTGCCAGCAATGGAGGTGAGCGCTTGTTTCCCCATGTGCTCTGACACGTGGGTTGTTTGTCAGCTGAACGGGGGAAAAATGGTATGTCACTGTAGTTGTTTTGTTTTGTTATAGATGCCAATACTGAATTTCTTTTGCTTATTCTCTTCCACTACAGCAAAACCTCCCAAAGTTAGAAGTGCATTTTAACACCTACTAAGTCAGCCATGGTGTTTTGGGTAAACTATGGAGTCTGAAGGCCAAATCTGGGCTGCCACCTGTTTTCTTGGTTTTTTTTTTTTTTTAATATATATAATTTTTTTTCTTTTATTTGAGGAAGATTAGCCCTGAGCTATATCTGCCGCCAATCCTCTGCTTTTTGCCAAGGAAGATTGGCCCTGAGCTAACATCTGTGCCCATCTTCCTCTACTTTTTATGTGGGATGTCACCACAGCATGGCTTGATAAATGGTGCATAGGTCTGCACCTGGGATCTGAACTGGCAACCCTGGGCCACCGAAGCAGTGTGTGCAAACTTAACCACTGCACCACTGGGCCGGCCCCCAATATATATAATTTTATTGAGGCATATTCTACATTTCATACGTTCACCCATTCCAAGTGTACAATTCAATCATTTCATAGTAAATTTACCAAGTTATGCAATTACTACCATAAATCAGTTTTAGAACATTTCCATCCCCCATAAGATCCCCTCATGTCTATCAATTGTTAATTCCTTTGCCCTCTCCTCCCCTCCTTCCCAGGAAAACACTAATCTACTTTCTGCCTTAGTAGATTTACTTTTCCTGGACATTTTACATAAACGCAATGATATAATAGGCAGTCTCTTGTGTCTGGCTTCTTTTGCTCAACATAATGTTTTTGAGGTTCACCTGTGTTGTAACGTGGATCAACGGTTCCTTTCTTTATTGCTGAATAATATTCCATTGCATGGATATACCACATTTCGCCTACCCACTCACCTGTTGGTGGATATTTAGACTATTTCAAATTTTTGGCTACTATGGGTAATGCTCCTATGAATAGTCATGCACAAATTTTGGGGGTGGACATATGTTTTCAATTCTCTTGGATAGAGTCCTCTAAGAGTGGAACTGCTGGGTCATCTGGGAAATTTATGTTGAATTTTTAAGAAACTGACAAACTGTTTTTCCAAAGTGGCTGCACCATTTTACTTTCTCATCAGCAGTGGGTGAGGGTTCCCTTTTCTCCACATCCTCAACATTTGCTATCATCTGTCGTTTGGATTATAGCCATCCTAGTGGGTCTAAAATGTTATCTCATAGTTTTAATTTTCATCTCCCTACTGACTAATGAAGAGCATCTTTCATGTGCTTATTAGCTATTCATCTATCTTCCTTTGTGAAATGTCTATTCAAGTCTTATGCCTATTTTTTGATTGGATTGTCTTATTGAGATGTAAGAGTTTTTTGTATATTCTGGATACAAATCCTTTATCAGGTACATGTCAAATATCATCTCCCAGTCTGTTCTTGTCTTTGCATTTTCTTAATGGTGTCTTTTGAAGTGCAAAAGTTTTGCATTTTGATGAGGTTCAATTTATCAATTCTGTCTGTCAGTGTAGTTTTAATTTGCATTTCTCTTATATGTGTGAGGTTGATCATCTTTTCATATGTTGAACATCTTTTATTATGTTTCAAATCCATTTAGATTTTCTTTTCTGAGAACTGTCTGTTCCTATCCTTTGGCTTTTTAAAATATTGGGTTATTGATCTTTTTTTATAGAGCTGCAGGAGCTCTTTGTATATTAGAAAAATGATCTCCTGTCTGTGACACTCATTACAAATAATTCTCCCAGTGTGTCCTCTGTCATTTGACTTTACATGGAGTCGGTTTTGCCACGCAGGTTAAAAAATGTTTTTGTGTGTTATTTAATTTATCATTTTTTTCTCCTATGACTCCTGGGCTGTGTGACAGAGGTAGTAAGATCGTTTCCACTCTGGGGTTATGACATATCTCTTCCTTGGCTTCTTCTTGTTCTTTTGTGTTTTTGTTTTGTTTGACATTTAAATCTTTGATACATTTGGAATCATTCTGGGGGAAAGTATAAAGAGATAGA